CCAACCAGTCCCTGCCGGAGGGAGGTAGGGAGCACGCGGCCTGGCCACCGTCACCCCCCCTCGAGTCCCTCCTCGGCTTTGCCTGCTCCCAGAGATGCACGAGACAGGCAGGGACCTATCCCAGAGAAACACCCCAAAGGGTAGGACCGGGCTGCAAGCTGGGAGCACATTGCTCCTGTTCACCAACCAAGCTGTGCCCCAGCCACCGCTGGCACCCGAGTCCCTGTCACGGAATTCCCAGCTCCTTCCCAGCCCACGCTACCCTCAAGCCAGGTGGTGGAGATGCCCACAGAGATCCCAGCTCCACAGCACCTCCCCAGCACAGTCACTCCCATCACGAGAGCCCGCGAGCAAGTCCTGGGGTGCCACAGTCCTTTTTCCATTGCGTCGCAGTGGGTGGCTGAATGAACACCCCTGCGCTGCCGGCATCTCGTTTAGTGTTTGATCCGTGGGTAACAGGGTGGCACGTGCTGCCATCCAGCCCGGGGCAGGGTTGGCTCTGGGCTTGGAGGCTGAGCATCACTGCTCACCAGCCCCGGGTTGTCTCACAGGTTACGAGGAGGTGATCCAGATTCCCAAGGGTTCCGTGCACATCGACATCCGAGAGCTGAACCTCTCCATCAACTACTTAGGTGAGCTGGGGCTAGGGGATACCGAAATCTCAGCTGGGTACCCCTTGGTTTACCATTTCCCTGGGAAAAAGCCAGGAAGGAAAAGCTCGCACTGCAGCAGAGGATGGGGCTGGGGGTCCCAGCTTGGGGCTGGGGAACAGAGGAAGGTGGCAGGAGCTGCTGGCAGGGCAGCCTGTCCGTGTCCAGTGGGGGCCGATCGGTGTGACCCCATCTCGCTGTGGGGCTGCCTCCCTCTCAAGCTCACTATTCGGCAGCGTAACCCCGAGCAAACCCCACACCCCAGCATTCCTGGCGCTGCCTTTGTCTCCTTGGCATTCCCCCCTCTCCACCAGCATGTTGGGCTGGGGATTAAAAATAGACCCGCTCACATTTTCCTTGGGATTAATTTTCCAGCCAGACTCTGGCTCGTTTCTTACAACCGGCTTTTTTCTCTCCCCTTGTCTTCTCTTTCTGCCCTCCGGGTGATGGACGGTGGTCACAGAGGGCTGGGCAGGGGTGCTCACAGCAGCTTTTCAGG